ACCTTGTTATCTATCGCAAATGAATCCACTAACGGCCCTGACCGAACTTGGCATCTGGGAAATGGGACCGGAGGATCAACCCATATTTGGGCCCAAATGGTCAAGAAGAAGGTCATTGGCAGAAGGAAGAGCACGTTGCTATTGATGACTCCTCTGGTCTACTACCCCTTGACGGTGTGCTACGCCTTCAAAGACACGGGGTGAGCGGAAGAGCAGGGCAAGAAAGAGTGCAGAGTCAAGGCGCGCAGAATGACAAAAACTAGCTGGAAGCACTTATCGTGCGCGTTCCCCGCCCGACCTTCCCACAACCTGTGACGATACGCAGGGCAGGTAATGAAATGACATAGTGCCACCCGCCGATCGCCGATCATCAGGTATCGGTCTATTCAAAACAAAGTGATGCTGAAATCTGAAGCTCAGAGGTCGTGACGGATCTGATGAATGCGCGTTGGCAACATTCCCCTTTCTCTTTGCAGAAAACGGGCACCAAGTGCGAAGATGGCGTCGTACTTGAACCTCGAGTCCACGACTGTCAGGTGAACCTTTAGCGGGGGCCACTACCACACTTCGCTTCACACGCACACACACACACACATCAATACACGAACCTTCCGCCGCCTACAATGGGCTGCCTGCTTTCTCGCGATGGGGTCTCACAGCATCATTGCGTTTTCCGCTGTGAATAAAAACAGAACAGCCGTCTTCTGGGTGCCAAAGCGACCGCATTGTCTGCGTTTGATCAGAAGTGAACCGATTAGCACATGCCGCGCCGACGGGTCTTGTTCAGAAATAAGGGACGGACGCATGTTCCGAATTGCCAGCCATACGTCTCACGCGACCCCGAACTAAATGGCCTCTCGATGTCACGCCGCTCACTCCTAAAACGACCCCATGGCTTGAAGATTTGAGGAGGAGGACGACGAGGAGGCTTGAAGACTCCCTTGATTACCTGAAACGACTACGCGGTGAAATGGGACAAAGTGGCCGTGCCCGCCTGGCCAGGTTACTCCCGGGACTGCCGCATCGTTGGCGCTGGGAATGGCAGGTCTGCGGTCCAGCGGCTGCAGGGGAGCCTACGTGCTCTCCAGTGGAGGATCTCGGGGATGGCGTTAGGTCGGGCGTGTCCCCCCACGGGCGGATTTTGGACAAGTTCAAGAAGAGTCAAAACCAGAGCAAAACATCGTCCTCAAACTATTTTTGCACTAGTTCAGAATATTCCTCCTGAAGAGGTGATGGGCGTGTTTTCCACCACCACCACCAGAAGTTGGAAGGGGGAAATGGAGACCGAGTATGAGGAGGAGGAGGAGGAGGAGGAGGAGGAGGAGGAGGACACCCTCCCCCTATAACTTATGGTGGTGGTGGTGGAAACAAGCCCATCAAGAGGGACAGGCCCGACTCAATACAGTCAACCAGTATAGGAAGGATGCGGGTTAAAGATGCAGGGGCCTTAGCCGCCCATTTCGAAGCTTTTAGAGCGGGGCGCGGCCAGCGAAAGCGGCGAAGAATGGACCGAGGAAACAAGGATGCAAGGGTACCCTTGGAAAGGTCATGCCCATCCTTACTATACTGGTTGACTGTAATGCCGCTCGGGGAGAGAGATGAGGGGGGACGGAGACGGGGAGGGGAGAGGGATGCCCAGAGCCAGGGAGGGGGAGGGAAGATAGAGGTCGAAACATCCACCCCCATAATGACCACCCCGACACGCAAAGTCGTTTAGTAAACACGCCCAAAGAGAGAACCAAACAGGGCAGGGCTGTTTAGTAAACGCCCAGGGCCGTGTAGTAAACGCCAATTGTCGGGTCCGGGGGGGTTTTCCTCACTTGGGAAGAGGCGGGATGCTGCGTCGGCGTCGCTCCCAGAGCGGGACTTCCCTCCCGAGGTCGGCTCTCTGGGCAGCCTGCTGGCACCAAATCGACCCATCGCCTAGACAACTTCTCTCTCTTTCTCTATATTGCTGTTGTTTGTTTGTTCTCTCGCTCTCTCACTCTCTCTTTCTCTCGTTAGCTCTCTCTCTCTCTCTCTCTCTCTCTGCATGTATACGTACATACAAACATTTGCAATAGATCCAACGCGCGCGCGCTTCGCGCGCGCTCATGTTCTAGCCCAGGTTCGGGGGGGCGCTGGAACATCTTGGACAGCTCTGTCAAGCACAGGCGCGTGACACAGTTGTGCCTCCTGGGTTCTGCAATCTGAAGCCGTCGTTCGCTGTCTTAGCTGCGTGGAGGCCCGAGTTGAGGCCACCTGGGGCCACATTGAGGCTATCCGGGAGCCTGGCGGAGGCCTCCTCGAGGCAGTTTTGATGTATCGAGGGAACGGTTGGGCTATATTGGGGCCTCGTGTACGTCTTCTGGGGGCCTTTCGGGGCCTCGTTGGAGGCTTTTTGGAGCCACGTCGGACCACTTGGGAGCCTCTTGGGGCCTCCTGTGGGCCTCTTAGGGCGGAAGGCTCTGCTGCTGGGTTCGCGATTCCCTTCTTGGGCCTCTCTTGGGGCCGTCTTGGGGCGCTCTCAGGTCGTCTTGGGCGCCTCAGGCACTGTCATGGGACCCTCGTGGGCCGTCCTGGGGCCCTCCTGGAGGCCTCTTCGGTTATCTTGGAGTGGTCTTGGGGACCTCTTGGGCCGTCTTGGAGCGTCGGGATGCCGAAAGGCTGAAACCTCGAACATCCGTCAAACAAATATGGGAAAACACGGATTTGCGCCTCTTGGAGTCTCATTGGGCGGCCTCTTGGAACCTCTTCGGTCCTCTGGGGAGCGTCTTGGGGTCCCTGGATCCTATTGAGGGCCTCTTGGGACTTCCTGAAAGCCTCTCTGGGTGGAAAGCTGGGATGTTCGGTTCGTGGTACCCCTCTTAAGCCCCTCTTGGAGCCGTCTTGGGTCCCTCTCGGGCCGTCTTGGGCGCCTCAGGCACTGTGTTGGGGCCCTCGTCCCTCTTGGAGGCATCGTCGGCTATCTTGGAGCGGTCTTGGGGACCTCTTGGGCCGTCTTGGAGCGGCGGGATGCCGAAAGGCTGAAACCTCGAACATCCGTCAAACAACAGTGGGACAACATTGACTTTTGCATCTTGGGGTCCTGTCGGGAGGCCTCTTGGAACCTCTTCGGCCCTCTGGGGAGCTTCTTGGGGACCTCTTGGGGCCTGTTGGGTGCCCCATCTTGGGCCACTCTTGTGACGTTTTTTTGTTGGCAGCTCCCGAGCGCCTCCGCATGTGTCGCACGAGCTCCCCCCAGCGCGTCGCACGGCTTGATCTGAGCGGTAAAACACTACCCTAAGAAAAAGAGCACTCGCGTAGCAGTGCCCGCCCCAGAGCGGTGGGCGGCCGAGAGACCCCACAACGGCCACGGGGCACTTCTCGCCCAGGCTGCCGCCGCCGAGATGCCGAGGAAACAGCGGCGGCGGAGGGAAGGGGAAAGGCGTCGGCATCTCTCGACCACCTGGGCACGGGGCGCCTCTCACTCCGTCCAGGGCCCCGCAAGCTGGGCACCGTGACACAAGCCGGGACACGCTGGCGCGCCCGAGAGGGCTGCAGCCGTGCAGAACCGTGGGCCGCAGCACTCGGGCCGAGCGAAAGGGGGGGATAGCAAAGGGGCGGTTTGAGAATCAGCTCACGTAGCTGATTTTCCCGGCGCCTCCCGGCGCCAGAGGCGGCCAAGTATCGAGGACTAGGCCCCTCGGTGGAGCCGAAACCAGCTGCATGCAGCAGATTTCGTAACCCCCCTTTCCCACCATCCCCCCTCGTCCGGCCCGACAGAACCGTGGGCCGCGGCACGCTCTCCGCACCATTCGCTCTCCCCCTTGGTCGGCCACGCGCAAGAGTGACCCTGGGAGAGAGTGACCTCTGGTGCGCGGCTTTTGGGGGGCCGCGGGGTGACTGAACACAGGCGCGCAAGACGCTACTATCACATCACGTTCGGCGATCGGGGGACCCCAAGGCGCCCGCACCGAAGGTCACTCCGGCGAAAGGTCACCCTTACACGCCTAACCGATTTGGCCGGGACCCTCCGAGCCGCCGCCGCCCGGGAGGCCCGCGCGCGCGGCAGCGAGCCCGCCGCTGCCCCGGCGCCCGCGGCCCTCCCCGCTGCCATGAGGGCCACCCCGCCGCCGCCCGGTGGCCCCCCGCCGACGCCGGCAAGAGCTCCGTGGGGCGGCACCCGCGCGCGGAGGCCCCGCAGCAGAGCGGCGGGCCCTTGGGGCGACCTGCCAAACCACCCCACCCTTAGGAAGCAACTATACTGGGAGGCTTTCGTCGGAAGGATTTCAAAAAGATTAAGCCCCATTGGGGGGCTGTTATGCCGGAGTGGGCCTCGGATTAAGCGGGATTAAATGGGATTAAACCGGATTAAGCGGGATTAAGCCGCATTAAGCCGGATTGAGCGGGGTCTCGGACCAGGGCAAAAAACAGAAGTTGACCTCCCAGGAGTTGCATCCGAACCAACCCAACCCGAAGACCCGAAATTCGTCAGAATTTCGGGTGAGGGGGGGTACGGGTTCCATGTAGTTTTTCTCAATCATCAGGTGTTGGGTCATCGTTCGTTTTGAAGAGACGGTCCCCGCGTTCCTCTTCTCCTCTCCTCCTCCTCCCCCTCCTCCCCCTCCTCCCTTCCCTCCTCCTTCTTCCATGCGTTTCACCCACCCAGCACAGCGCTTCGTGGCCCCATAGGGAGCTCCACCGAGGCCCCTAGTGGGACCGCCCGCATGCGTTCGCCACCACCCAGCACAGCCCTTGCTCCCTGCGCTTCACCCAACCAGTACAGCGCTTCGCGGCCCCATAGGGAGCTCCACCGAAGGTCCCAGTGGCACCGCCCGCATGCGTCCGCCACCACCCAGTACAGTCATTGCCCCCTGCGTTTCACCCACCCAATACAACGCTTCGTGGCCCCATAAGGGGGCTCCACGGAAGGTCCCAATGGCACCGCCCGCATGCGTCCGCCACAACCCAACACGGCCCTTGCTCCCTGCGTTTGACCCACCCAATACACCGTTTCGTGGCCCATCGGGGGCTCCACCGAAGGTCCCAGAGGCACTGCCCGCATGCGTCCGCCACCACCCAGCACAGCCCTTGCGCCCTGCGTTTCACCCACCCAGTACAACGTTTCGTGGCCCCATAGGGAGCTCCACCGAAGGTCCCAAAGGCACCGCCAGCCATTTCTCCGCTCGTTTCACCCACCCAATACAACGTTTCGTGGCCCCATGCGGGGCTCCACGGAAGGTCCCAGTGGCACCGCCCGCATGCGTCCGCCACCACCCAGCACAGCCCTTGCGCCCTGCGTTTCACCCACCAAGTACAGGGTTCCGTGGCCCCATAGGGGGCGCCACCGAAGAAGATATTCACAATTGCGGAACTCACAACTGCATATGGTTGGGTCTTTCGCCAAGCTAATTTCACTGTTCCCCTACCCCCCCCCTCTGGAAATGGAGGGCAAATTGAGGCCTTCAAACTGGGTTGGGGTGGTTTGGTGGGTGGTGACCTTCGGCGGGGCCTGGCTACTCCCTGGCCACAGCAGTGCCCATCGCTTCCCACAGGGAGTCCGGCACGGGCTTCTGCTGCCACGTGCCCAACTTCTCTTGTGCACTCGGGTCCCCGTGGCATTCCATGAAGGTGGTGGCGTCCGGGTTCACTGTGGCGTCCTCAGGCAATATCTCCTCTGTGAGCTCCAGGCCCTCAATGGTGCGACATCGCGACAGCGCAACGTAGAGTAGACCATCGGCGAATGCATACGGGTCAACGCGAACCTTGCTCAACGTCTGCCCCTGAGACCTGTGATGAGTGATCGCCCACGCGAGCTGCAGAGGTACCTGCCATCTTAAGCATGAGCCCAAGCCAGGGATGCTCGACTCGAACCAGTGCGGGTGGATCCGCTGCGGGCCGACATCGTCAAAATTTACGTCCACCCAGTTTTCCTCACCCGGGCGTGAGATTCCTGTCACCTCGCCAGCTTGGCCGTTCACCAACCTCTCGTGCACGGGAAAGAGGTTGGCCACCAGCATCACCCGCGCGCCCACCTTCAGTTCCAAGTTCTTCAGGGCAGGGCACCCGCCGGAGAGGTCCTCAAAGAACGCGCTCTGGCGCAGCACCGTCTCTGGCGTCTCAGGGTAGTACAGGCCCCTCCTTCCTGGGTGGTCCTCGATGTCCCACTCCGGCACCACCTTATCCACTGCCTCGAGCGTCCTCGACTCGCCCTGCACATGTCCCAACCTCTCCGTATTGATGTCCCTCATCATCGCGATCGTTGCGACCATTCGCACGGCACTCTCGTCTTCCTCGGGCCTCACCCGTTTGTTGAAGAAGTCGATGGCTCCCTGCAGTTGCGACGCTGTTCCCCCTGACCGCAAAACTTCGAGGGCTTCGTGGTACTCAGCTGACTCCTGGCGATGGTGCGTGTGAAGTTCCACGGTCTTGGTCCCGAGGCGCCAGAACGCGTCGCTGTGAAAGAACATGCCGCGGTTCAGGAACAGCTCCTTCCTGCTGTCATTCCAGCCTATCAGCACCGCCCTGTCGTTCTGAAGCTCGTCCATGTCAAGGCCTCGCACGTCACCGTCCCCGAAAGACGGCTCGATCGGCGTCAGCTGGTAGGGGTCCCCGCACAGCACCAGCTGCAGGCCTCCGAACGGCTCTTCGCTGTCGCGCATCGTTCGCAGATGCATGTCCATGTTGTCGAGGAACTCTCCGGAGATCATAGATATCTCGTCGATGATGAGAACTTCCAGACCCTTCCAGAACTCTGTCCTGGCTCTCATCTTAAAGAAATCGAAAGTGTAGTGCGGAACTTGAACGCCCGCGATGTGGTGCAGGGTGTAGCCGTCGATGACGATGGCGGCGCACCCAGTGGCCGCCGAAACCGCCACCTTTTCCTTGTGGGCATCGCCGTACTTGTCCTTCAGAGACTGTATGATGCTCCGCAGCGTGCTGGACTTGCCCACGCCCGCTCCTCCCGTGATGAGGACGCTCTCCCCGCGTAGAACCAGATCGTGAGCGCGTTGCTGGCTCTCGTCGAGGTCGGTGTCGGACGAGCGGGGCAGATCTGGCACCACCAGGCCTCGGACGCCATCGGAGACCTGCTGCCGGCACACGTGCCGCTGCCTGGGCGCTGCGGCCGCGCCCTGCCCGCCCAACCACAGCGCGTGGCCAGGGCCCAGCACGACCGCCGCGGCGGCGCAGAGGCCGCACGCCGCGAGGGCCCCGCCCCCTCGGCGAGGGGCGCCGCGCGCCGGTCGCCGAGGCCCCGCCGTCGCGGCGCGCGCGCGTTCAGCGCGCAGGGGCATCCTCGGTCTGATCGCCCCGGGGAGGCGCTGGCTGCTGTGAGCCAAGGCGGCCTGGCTACGGAGCACTCCTGGGGCGTCTTGGGGCCCTCTCGGGCCGGCGTGTGCGCCTCTGACGCCGTCCTGGGGCCCTCGGGGGCTGTGGCCGTCCGTCTTCGAGGCCTCTGGGGGCTGTTTTGGAACAAACATTTGGGCCTCTTGGGGCGTCTTGGAGCGTCGGGAAACTGAAAAGGCGAGAACTCGAAAATCCTTCGAAAACCTGAAGAGCATCGTTGAGGTGTGCCTCCTGGGGCTCCTTTGGAGTCATCTTGGAGGCCTCTTGGGGCGTCTTGGAGGCTTCCTGGACAGTCTGGGGCGAATTCTCGGATAATCTCGGGCCGTCATTGGACGTTTTGGTGGTCTGGAAGCGTCTGGCGATCTGGAGCCGTCGTCGGGCGATCTGAGAGAGCCCCCGGTGCCCCGGCAGGGCCCGCGGGGCCCCCGGTCCCCCCGTGTGCTCATTCTCGCGTGACCCTGAGAATTCTCCCTATCCTCCTCAGCTCTTTTTGCGGAGGCTCCTCCTTGGAGAGCCTCTGGGGGCCTCACACAATTTGTTCAGGCTTTCTTACAGCCTTCTGGAAGCCTCTTGGGCGCCTTCTGGGGCCTCTAGGGGCTTCCTCGGGCCACCCTGCCTCCAACCGTGGTCTCCCTGAACGACCGGGTCACGATTTGGAATGCTTCGGAGGGTGTCTTGGGGCCATCTTGGGCCGTCATGGGGCTCTCTTAGGCCATCTTGGAACCCTGTTGTGCCGTCTTGGGGCTCTCCAGGACTGCCTGGATGCCCTTTTGCATGGTTGTGGCGCGATTTTCGAGCCTCCTAGGCAGCTTCGGACGCCCAGAAGAACGCCGTCTTGAAGCGTCGGGAAGCCGAAAAGAGGAGAACCGCAAAATTCACCAAACACTGCAAGAAAATCAATGACTGTTGCCTCTTGGAGCCTTCTTAGGAGTGCTTTTGGAGGCCTCTTGGGACGCTTTGGAACAACCTTTGGGGATATGACGGCTTCTTGGGGGTCGCCGTGGACCCTCTCGGGGCTCTCTGGGGTCGTTTCGGGAGCGCTCCGGAACGCCTGGAGCCCTCTGGGGCCGTCTTCGGGCCCTCGTGGGATTTTCCTGGGTCGTCTGGCAGGTTGCCCGAGAGGCCCGGGGTGGGCCAAGCTCGTTCAGGGGTGGGGTGGGGGGCGCTTTTTCTGGGGTCAGGGTGTGTGTGTGTGTGTGTGTGCGCGTGTTCTTACAGGTTCCCCGGCCCTATATGAATACATGAATAAGAATATTACGCGCAAGCACACACATATATACATATATATATATATATATATATATATATATATGGTAGCCCCCCCCCACATGATCATACATATTCGTCTTTACCGCGGCCGCCGATCGATATCTTCTTTCTCCGCTCCCTTCTCCTGTCTCTTCCTTTCTCTCCTCCTCCTCCTCCTCTTCCTCCTCCTCCTCCTCCTCCCCGTGCTATTCCTTCTCGGAATCATCGAAATCGTCAGAAACTAAAGCAAACCTCCAAAAAACCAAAGAAAAACCAAAAAAACCAAAAAAAACAAAAAAACTATGATTTCTGGAGAATTTCTGGAACGGCAGGCGACCAAAATTCGCCAGAAATCATAGTTTTTTTGGTTTTTTTGGTTTTTTTGTTTTTTTTGTTTTTTTGGTTTTTTTGGTTTTTTACCTCCTCCTCCTCCTCCGCCTCCACCTTCTCCCTCTTCTCCTCCCCCTCCACTCCCTCTTCTCCTTCTTCCCCTCTCCCCCTCCTCCGTTCTGCCGCCGGCCGGAGTAGGTACCGCAATTCCACCGATTGTTCTCCAGAAATCATAGTTTTTTTGTTTTTGTTTGTTTGTTTGGTTTTCTGAAGGGTTTTCGCTGGCGTTCGGCCTCCACAGAAGGATTCCTATTGAAATCCTCTGCGAAAGAAGATTCCCATTGAGATCCTCTACGGTTCCTCACCCTCCTCCTTCTGCAACTCACCCTCCTCATCATGCTCGCTTCGAGGCGATACTCACAAATCTAGTTGCGAACGCAGCTTCACAACTAGTTTTGCGAGGAACCTCCCGCTACAAGACACTACTCGCAAAACTAATTGTGAACGGCGCTCCACAACTAGTTTTGTGAGTAATGAGTTCCTCCTCGTCATCGTCATGCTGCTCACTCTCCTCTTCTTCCTTCTCCTGCTCCTCCTGCTCCTCGTCATTCTGCCCCCTCGTCTCCGCTTCGAGGCGACACGCACAAATCTAGTTGTGAACGCAGCTTCACAACTAATTCTGCGAGGAACCTCCCGCTACGAGACACAACTCGCAAAACTAATTGTGAACGACGCTCCACAACTAGTTTTGTGAGTAATGAGTTCCGCCTCGTCGTCGTCATGCTGCTCACCCTCCTCTTCTTCCTTCTCCTGCTCCTCCTGCTCCTCTGCCCTCCTGCTCCTCCTAGTTGTGCAGCTGCGTTCACAACTAGATTTGTGAGTATCGCCTCGAAGCGGAGAGAAGGGGGCACAATGACGAGGAGCAGGAGGAGGAGCAGGAGGAGGAAGAAGAAGAGGGTGAGGAGCATGACGATGACGAGGAGGAACTCCTTACTCACAAAACTAGTTGTGGAACGCCGTTCACAACTAGTTTTGCGAGTAGTGTCTTGTAGCTGGAGGTTCCTCGCACAACTAGTTGTGCAGCTGAGTTCACAACTAGAGCTGTGAGTATTGCCTCGAAGCGGAGAGGAGGGGGCACAATGACGAGGAGCAGGAGGAGCAGGAGGAAGAAGAAGAGAAGGGCGAGGGGCATGACGATGCCCTCCTGCTCCTCCTGCTCCTCGTCAGCAGAACTAGTTGTCAACGGCGTTCCACAACTAGTTTTGTGAGTAATGAGTTCCTCCTCATCATCGTCATGCTCCGCACTCTCCTCTTCTTCCTCCTCCTGCTCCTCCTGCTCTTCTGCCCTCCTGCTCCTCCTGCTCGTCATTCTGCCCCCCCCCTCTGCTCACCTTCCTCTTCTTCCTTCTCCTGCTCCTGCTCCTCCTGCTCCTCGTCATTGTGCCCCCTTCTCTCCGCTTTGAGGCGATACGCACAAATCTAGTTGTGAACGCAAATGCACAAGTACTCTTGCGAGGAACCTCCCGCTACGAATCACTACTCGCAGAACTAATTGTCAACGGCGCTCCACAACTAGTTTTGTGAGTAATGAGTTCCTCCTCGTCATCGTCATGCTGCTCACCCTCCTCTTCTTCCTTCCCCTGCTCCTCCTGCTCCTCCTGCTCCTCGTCATTGTGCCCCCTTCTCTCCGCTTCGAGGCGATACTCACAAATCTAGTTGTGAACGCAGCTGCACAAGTAGTCTTGCGAGGAACCTCCCGCTACAAGACACTACTCGCAAAACTAATTGCGAACGACGCTCCACAACTAGCGTTGTAAGTAATGAGTTCCTCCTCGTCATCGTCGTGCTGCTCACCCTCCTCTTCTTCCTTCTCCTGATCCTCCTGCTCCTCGTCATTGTGCCCCCTCCTCTCCGCTTCGAGGCAATACTCACAACTCTAGCTGTGAACTCAGCTGCACAACTAGTTTTGCGAGGAACCTCCCGCTACAAGACACTACTCGCAAAACTAGTTGTGATCGGCGTTCAACAACTAGTTTTGTGAGTAATGAGTTCCTCCTCGTCATCGTCATGCTCCTCACCCTCCTCTTCTTCCTCCTCCTGCTCTTGCTCCTCCTGCTCCTCGTCATTGTGCCCCCTTCTCTCCGCTTCGAGGCGATAGTCACAAATCTAGTTGTGAACGCAGCTGCACGACTATTTTTGCGAGGAACCTCCCGCTACAACACAATTCGCCATAGAATGATTCCTATTGAAATTATCAACAGAAGGATTCGCGTTGAAACCCTTCACAGAAGGAGACTTAGGTGGATGAGAAGGAAGAGAAGGAGGAATATGAGGCGGATGAGGAGGATCAGGAGGAGGAGGAGGGAGAGGGAGAAGAACCTCTATAAAACGATTCTTAATGATCAACTGCAACGCAGCCGATTGGATTGTAATGCGTTGCCAACGATTGAAGCCGCAAGCGCTTGGAATGCAATCGACTGGGTTGCGTCTGACAACGTAGCAAAACATAATCAAGAAGAGCAGGAGGAGGAAGGGGGATGAACGACTGGAGGGATCAAGGGAGCATGTGTATGATCATGTGGGGGGGGGCGAGCATATATATATATATGTATGTATACACATATATATATGTATGCAGATGTATACATGCATATGTATACATATGTGTATATACGTATACAGAGTATGTGTACCTCTATCAATCGATCGATCGATATATATATATATATATATATATGTATACCGATGTACATATACAATTATACTAGTTCTGATATGTGCAAATAAGTGTATATCTATCTACATATATGATGGATGCATACTTCGCCATATGGATACATGTGCACATGTATAGGTATCCATCTACATACAAAGGTATGTATATAGCTATATATGTATATACAGTTGTGTGTTCATATATATATTTATATAGATACTCATATATATATATATATATGTATATATATGTACATGTATATATATATATGTATATATATATACATATACATATACAATGGACATCGCGCGCGTTTCATGCGCTCAAGTTCTAGCTAGGCTTGATCGGCTAACTCATGTAATCTCATGTTGGTCGCTTCTTGCGTCCAGGGACTCCCTTGGAGGCCCTGCGAAAGCCTCGGAATCGCATAGAAGGGGAAGACCGGAAACGCAGAAACCATGAATTTCCTTTTCAGGGATTTAACGATTTGGGGCCCTCAAATGCTTCCTGGGATCTTTTTGGGGAGGCTAGGGGGGTCTGAATTGTGGTCTGTTGTGCAAGAGTAGACGCGGGGCCAAACTTGAAAAAAAAGGATTGTGGGAATCCCATGTTTTCCAATTACTCGGCGCTGTTCGGCGCTGTTTTTTGTTTGTGCCTCGCGGGTTTTGTCAGGGGTGTGGGATCTTCCGGACACCTGAGGCTTCTGGAGGCCTCCTGGAGGCCTGGAGAGCCGTCGGAAGGGTGTCTCAGGCGGTGCGGGAGCGTGTTGGGCCGTTCTTTACGTTCTGGGGGCTCCTTGGGATCGTCATGGGCTGTCCTTCGGCGTCTTGGGGTCTCCCTTCGGGAAGCCGGGAAGCGCGGTACAGGCCAGATGTCAGACGATGTGTGGGACCCCCGAGTAGGAGTCCCACTTTGAAAAAAAGGAATTCTGGGAATTCCCATTTTTTCAAAATCCTCGATCTTCGAGGGTTGAAAGCGGGAAAACGTGAGAAGGCGAAAAACATTATAACAAAATATGGGAAATCAGCGACTTTACTCTGTTTGGGCTCTCTCGGGACGGCTCTCGCAGCTCTCTTGGGCTGTTCTTGGAGCCTCCTCGAGGTCTTTTTGGGGCCTCTCAGGGATCGGGAGTGTTGGGGGCCTCTGGGAGGTCCCAGAGGCCTCTCGGAGGTCTCTGGAAGCTTCCTGCTCCCGCTCTTGGGTCCATCTTGGGCCTGTTCTGGGGCGGTCTGGGGTTGTCCTGGGCGCCTCTTCTGCAGTCTTGGAGCCTCTTGGCCCGTCTTGGGGCCGTCCTGACGATCTCTTGGGTGGTCTTGGGGCGGTCTTGGGAGCCTCTTCGGCGCTCCTGGACGGTTGGAAGCTCGAAAACGCGAGAAGCCAAAACATTAGAAAAACCAATGAACATCTACGATTTGGGCCTCTTCGGGCCGTCCAGGGACACCTCTCCGACCTCTCTTGGGGTCTCTTGGAGGTTACTTGGGAGCCTCGAGAGCCGTCGGAAGGCTGACCTGGGCTGCTTGGGAGCGTCTTGGACCATCCTTTCGCATTCTGAGCGCTCCTGAGAGTCGTCTTGGGCCCTCCTGGAGCGCTGTGGAGGCTCCCCGGAACGCCCAGGGGACCGGTACCGGGAGCGTCCCCGAGATGTGGCGGGGAGGTGTGGCACCCAGGGCCGGGGGGGGCAGTATTTATGGATACTACAAACATTATATACACATACCCGTACATATATATATATATATATATATATATATTATATATATATATAATATATGCGTGTGTATATATATATATATATATATATATATGTATACCTCCCTCCCTCCCTTCTTCCAACTCTATGTTTGTTGTTGTTTTTGTTCTCTCTCTCTCTCTATTTCTCTCCCTCCTTCCCGCCCGCCATCTGTATTTATGTATGTACACCAGGAATACATACATGTGAATGAATATATAAGTATATACACATGTATGTACAGAGAATGAGAGAGAGAAACAAACAAAATAGCGAGAGAGACACGTGTATATACACATATATAAGCATATGTATATATACATATATATATGTGTAAGCGTGTGTATATATATATATATATATATACACGCCCTGACCACTGTTTGCACGTAGGGTCTCCGACTTGCTCCACCATCAGTGCTTGCACTAGGGGTTCTTTGTCGGTCTGCGGACTGTCGGCTATCTTGTTGCCGTCGCCGCCCCGTCGCTGCCCCGAGGCCGCCTCGTCGCCGACAGTCGCCTGGACCTGCGTGCCGCTCTGGCGGCAATGTTGTCGCCGTCGCCGCCCCGTCGTCGCTTCGTTTCCGTTCCGCCAATTCTCCGCCTCGTCCCCGACCCGCCGCAGCCTACACTGCACAACTTACACGACACAAGAAAATTGCACAACATAGATTGCATCCCATGAATTGATCAACGTAGATGACGCTTTTTTCTAACAGAAATTTTAGGATATACCGCCCTCCCGGCTGAACCGTTCCCTTGTTTCGCATTGTAATTTGCATACGTTTCTGCCCCACCGTCCATCCTAAAGACGAACCCATACCATCCCAGCCCCACTGGTAACGGTTCCGCCCGCATCTTCTGCAACAAATATTATGTGCGCGCCCTCGCTGATCGCAAAATAACCATGTTGCAAGAATCCCGTGCAACAGGCGAAACGAAGTGCACACGCGCGCGTCGTCGCGCGCCCATGCTGAAATCCTTGAACAACCGTGGGTTTGGTAGGGGTTCCAAAATCGAGCGTCGCGAAAACAGATAAAGAACACATGGCTTGGCAACAAATGCTGTCAAACAACATTGCGCTCGCGTTCGTGGAGGTTCCACAAAAGATGTCCATACAATGTTGCCGACCGGGCTTCCCGCGCGTGCATGTCGAAACCGGTCGAACGTCCTTGTGGTGTCGCAAGAATCCCTTCATCCCAAAACAAAACATGTGCACGAGCGCGCGCGTGTCGTCTCGAAGGCATGCCGAAATCCTCAACACAAACTTCAGGCACCGTAAAAAAGTGCAAAAACCAGTGCCCCGAAAACACATAAGAAACACCACCTTCGTGGGTGTCGAACATCAACTGGCAAAACATGGCACGCGATGTTGCAAATTCTTCAAATTCCCATGAGTTGTTTTCCAAATGTATCATCACATTATACCGAACATGTCTCTCGCGCAGCATGTCGAACTCATCTGAACGCCCATGCGCGCGCGCGCTGGGAAAACACGATTTGTCAAAACAACACGCGGGCCATTCGCGCGCGTCGGCCGCGCGCATGGAATCCTTCCAACGCCTTGATCACCGACGCGAGGGCATGGTCATCGTCATCGGGAGCGTGAGCGACATCGGCGGCGTCATTGGCCTTGCCGTCGTCACCGCCACCATCGCCACCAAGACCG